AATAATCATGTTTACGGCCTGATATGTGAAAAAAAATCCCTGCTTTAGCCTGCAGGGCTATTTTCCTCCAACACATTAACTGTGCAGGGGTTTTATTCACTCATGCATTCAGATTTCTCTAAGGTGTAAAGTTAGGGGGTGCTACGACTCACAGGAGTCACAGGTGGATGGTGACAGCCTGTGCGTTACAGCCTGCCTGCAATATCTGTGCTTCTGTTTGAGTGAGTGAATTTTTCTTCATTAGCATTAATTAGCAGATCAGCAGATGTGCTGTGCACACGTATGAATGCAGCTTCCTGATCAGTACCAGCTAATGCAGCTTGCTTGCATTAGCTGGTAGCTTCACAGTCCAGCCTCTTGTCTAAATATGGTCACTTCTGAGTCCCAAGGAGTCTCGACTAAGGACACATTGACACTTGGAGGTATCACACACAACTTCAGTAATTATTAGCAACTAATGAAAGGTTTGGAAATTACAAACATGAGATTTCACTTTAGACTTTAGGTCATTTTATTTTAAACAAGAAAAAGGCCAAAAATGGAGCCAGAAAGTTCAGCAGGAGCTACAGCTGACATGACAACATTGCTCTAATGAGATTATCCAACAACCTTTCCCATATTGGAAGAGAAACAGTAAAACAAGCAGATATTGTGTATGAGTGAAATGAGACCTAAAATATAACTGTTGGTAATGGAGAGATTGGTTGTTTCTTTCCATTTCCTTTGCAAACTGGTGATTGTCTTTCTGTGGTGTCCAGAAAAGCCTACTCCACATGCAGTAGCTAACATGTTTCTATCAGCCTCCATCCATCTTCAGTCAAAAAGCAGAATTTCTCACTGAGGTCTCAAAGTGCAAGAGGAAGAAATAAGTCAAAGATTCAACTTTAAAATATGAGAATGCGGTCTGGAGCCAAATGACAGAAAATAGGAGGTAATTTCAGATGCATTCATAGCGGGATGATGAAGTTACTATAAACCAACATGCACGGGTTCTGCAAAAGCATAAATGTTTCTAAAGATGGAGTGTCTACTGCCACCGAGCACGTTTTTACTTTAGCTAAGGACAGTTTAGTGAGAAAATCTTTGCATTTTGTCTCCTTCCACTGAAATTTAACCCCACCAGCAGATCATTTCTGCCTCCGTCTGAGAAAAATATTTGCAGAACTAAAGACTCAGCCTACTGTTTATTTGGACTCTCAGGTGAGACGGGAACAAAATGAAGCCCAATCTCATTCCCTCTTTGTTGTTTACATCCTCAAACAGCTCGAAACAGTCAGCCAAAGTATGAAAAATCATCAGACAGATTCAAATGTGAAGAACATTCAATAAAGTGATAACTAAAGGTTGTGAGGGACAAACTGCTATGCTGCATGATTGACAGGAAAGTAAAAAGAGATTGATGTTTTCAGCTCTTCGTCGTGGTGAAGCCAAAGCTTTTCACACATGCATTTTTAGCCCCAAGCTCAGCTGAACCTCAGGATGCAGAAAGCTGGAAACTGCAGCCGAAGGTCATATACTGGGGGTGATGGATGATTTTGCACATGGTTAAAGTGGGACTTTTAATGTGACAAGCAAACAAAGGCATACATGTACAAATAATAATATTAATAATAATAAACATATGGGAAACAAGGAATATAGATAAATGTCATAAAGCCTGATCCGTCGCCACCTCACCAAAACCTAGCCCATGATTGTGATGCTGCTCTGATGATGCTTACATCACATCATTAACCCGCTCACAGCAGCGTACGCTGTGTCCCTTCAGTTCAAGCACCCACACCACTGGAAAAAAATTATATAAACAAGAGACCATCTTGCAACTGCATACACCAACAATGAAGCCCATCAACCCAGCAAGCAAAAATGCTACTGACTTCTAAAAAGTGCCAATCAGCACTTATTGAAATGACCCTAATGACCTAGTGCGCCAACTGTAATAACTGTAAATCCTGAGCCAAACCAACTTGTGCTCCAACTTTAACCAAACACCTGGAACAAAACACAAACTACAGTTTTGGGATAAATCCACTTAACACTACCCCCTGACACCAGATTGCTACCACCCTCACATGAGGATACCCCCGTGAGCTATAATGTTTATGCCCCAATCATGCAGGCCCAGAGACTTCAACTTCCAGTCGCTACAGGAAAAAAATCTTGATTTCTTGGCAAATGATTGCTTGAGGTTGACGGCAGTCACCAGATGAATTCCCCACAAAGAGGGTGTTGCCCCCAAAACCTCTTTGGGAGTGTTTCGGGTGTTAGGGACCTGCAAATGAGCCAAGTGCTAGTGAAATTTGAAAAAGTATGATGCAAGCTGGAATAGAGGCCTTTCAAAGTAAAAGTTTAGAGCTAAGGCACAAGTTTCACTTTGAAACCAAACGGTCTCAGTTTCCAGTTTGTGTTTTTTTCTCAGAAACCAGCAGCTGCAAGGTAGGAGAAAAATATTGTCCCCGAGTCTGTGTGACTGGGACCTTACTACGCTAGCAACTGGATAAAGGTAAGACCAATTTATCATTATTAGGAAGTGAAGTCTTTCTGACTTCCGGTGCCCCCCCGTGAGTGGCAGCCTGTTACAGCAGCTCCGCTCATTCTGAGCTTCTTTCGTATCTCCTCTTTACTTTCTCTTTTTTGTAACTAAAGTTTAAGCAATTAGATTCTGCAATCATGGACTACCGTTTTGTGCTAGTCTTGGTTGTCTTTCTCTTTTCTTTCACACCATTTTTTACCCGTGTTTGGGAACCCAGCATATGGATGCTTTGTTTACAGCAGGGATCAGCTGTTAGCGCTGTGTCCCACAGCAGTGCTGCCGGCGGACAGACACGACATTCCCACTGAGCTGAGGAGGAAAAGACGTGGGTGTCGTGCTGGGAGGGAGCGCTGTCACCCGAGAAGGAGACGTTATAGACCATCTCTCCCTTCTGTAATCACTGGAAATGTAACATCGCTGCCCAATAAGATGAGCTCACGTCGCTAACCTGGTCACAGGGGGAATACCAGCGATGTAGCATTGTTTTGCTAACGGAGTCCTGGCTAACACCGCTAACTCCGGACACGAGCGTGATGCTACCGGTGGCTCTGACATCCCACCTGATGAAGACCCTGGAGCGGCTGGTCCTGACTCAGCTTCGGCGCCTGGTGGGCTCATCACTGGACCCACTTCAGTTTGCCTACCAGCCTGGCATCGGAGCGGATGATGGCATCATTCACCTC